CCCCCCTTCCCCTCCGCGCACACACACATCAACACACACACGCGCGCACACACACACACACACATACACGTGTACACACGCACCTGCAGCTCCAGGTAGCGTGCCGCCAGGTCCTCCTCGCTGTCCACCCGCACCACACCAATGGACTCGCTGCCGCCCACGGGCTTGAGCACCGACGGGAAGCCGACCGCGGCAGCTGCCGGCTTCAGGTCGTCGGGGCCGCTGACCATCGCGTGCGACGGCGTCGGCAGGCCGGCGTCCTGCGGGGGTGGGGTGTGCACCCAGGTTGGGGGGGTGGGGGTGGGCGCGAGGGTGGGACGGATGGGAGGCGGGAGGCTTGGCTGCAGGTTGGCTGGCTGGGCGCCACGGATCAGGCGGCTGTGCGTGCCACGGCCCGTGCCACGGCCCCGCTGCTCTTTTGTCCGCCCAACGCGACGCTGCCAGCTCGCCCGCGTACATCACGCGCCGCAGACGGACGCGCGCCGGCCGCGTCCCCGGCCGCGCCAGCAGCGCGCCGGCCCGCAGCGCGCCTCGGCCTCGCTTTCGGCTCTAACGTCCGCTTAGAAACGAAAAAAGCCGAGGGGCGGCCGCGCACCTTGAGGGCCTGACGCGTCTGGTCCTTGTTGCGGGCGCGCGCGACGGCGTCGACGCTGTTGGCGGGGTACCCCAGGCGCTCGCACAGCCGGGCCACCAGGGGCTGCGCCAGGTCAGAGAAAGAGCAGATGCCGTGCACCGCGCCATGCTCCTGCAGATGGTGATGGGACGATGGAAAGGACACGCTGTTCTTTTGAGGGGCTGGGGCGGTGGAGCAAATCGGCGGCCAAGAGGCTTTGGGGACCCCCGGCTCAGGTTGGCTGCCTAGACGTGTCCACACATTCTCAGGTGATGTGTGCCGAAGAGGGCCCCCGAAGCTCCCAGCTGCGGCCGGCCGCCTCGAACGTTCGAACGCCATGGGCGCGGTGCTCGCACAAAACCGCAAGTGCCGGGTCGGTGCTGCCTGCTTATCAGGAGTGCTTCCTGGAGCTGCTGCACTCGTGCGCCCGTACGTGCGCACGCAAGCACGCACGCGCACTCACACACACACACACACACACACACACACACACACACACACGGACGTGCGCTCTCTCTCACCTCGACCAGCTTGTTGTACACACGAGTGATGTCATCCAGCACGCTCTCGGTGTCGCGGGACAGGTCGATGGGGTGGAACGCGTCAAAGGCGCTGCCCACGCAGTCCTTGCCCCAGTGGTTGGGGCTGTCCACCAGCACCGCAGTCACCCCCAGCTGGCGCGCCTTTTCGTAAATGAAGCGCTTCTGCGGGTCGAACATTGCCCGTTCACGGCCGGCAGTGCGGGGGAGGGGAGGAGGCTTGGCGTCGCGGCGCGCGCTGGCTGCAAAGCGAGCCCGCTCGCGGCGTTGCAAGGCTCCCGACGCTCGACAGAGGCCCTTTGGCGCCACACCCAAGCCCAGCCTCTGCATCCAAGCCCAGCAGGAAACAGGCAGAGCCGGGGTCAAAGCTGCGGGAGAGGGAGGGAAGCCAAAACAATCAAGCGGCGGCCGCACCTTGCCGTAGCCGGCGCAGACGAAGAGCACCACCGCGCCCTTGAGCGCCCCCTCGCGCGCCGCCTGGCCGGCCGCGCTCGCCTCCTCTAGCAGCTCGCGGGGCACGCCCGCCCCCAGGTCCTGCGGCGGCAGCGGCAGCAGCAGTAGCAGCAGCATCAGCACGGTAAGCAGGAGCAGCAGGGTCAGCAGCAGCAGCAGCAAGGTCAGCAGCAGCAGCAGCAGCAGCAGCAGCAGCAGCAGCAGCAGCAGCAGCAGCAGCAGCATTATATGCCGCGGGAGCGTCAGCGGCACCAGGGTCAGCTATAGCAGCGCCGAGCAGCAGAGGCCGGAGGATTAGGGGCTGGCGGGGACTCGCGCAGTGGGGCATTGTGCAGGGCGCGCACAGGGGGTGGGGCCCAGGCCGGTCCAGGCAGTGTGCGAGGGAGTTGAGCTAATTTCGTGCAGCCAGGCAAGTGTTTGTGCCTCGGCCAAGTGAGTGGGCCAACGAGGCCCAGCGCCGGACTGCGCATGCGCCAGCCTGAGGTGGCTCGCGACAAACTGGTGCGCCCCGCGCAGGGTGCACGCGCGTAGCAATCCGCGGGGGTACTCACAGGGCGGGCGGTCCTGGCCTGCTCCACGTCCGGGCTGGAGACCGCCGCCGCCGCGACAGGCGCTGCCAGGCGCGCGCGGCGCCCGATCTGCTGCTGCTGCTGCTGGCGCTGCCGCTGCTGGAGAGCTGCGCAAGCGGCCGGCGCCTGCAGGGGCGCGTGTGGGTGCAGGGGTGTTGGGTAACAATCGTCTGAGAGAGCTCACGCAAAGCAGCCGGGCGATCCAGCTCACAGGGCAAATCGCTGTGCCGCAAATGTGCTGTGGGGAGGTGCCCTTTCACGTGATGGTGCCTGCACGCATGACAGCGTGCGCTCCGCCCACCCTATTCCTGGCCGCGCACCTTCACAGGCACCAGGTTACGTGTCGCACTGCGCCTGGACGGCGCGGCACGCTCCGCCACGAGCCGCCCGCTGTTGAACGCCTGCATCGTGCAGCACCCGGCGCCGGGGCGTCTGCTTTGAGCGCGGCCCGAGCTGCACACACGCTTCATCAAGGGCCATGCGGATTGCTTATGCAAGCAAAATGCGGCCCTGTGATCACCTGTAGCGAGGCCATGCTTGATGCTTTGTCTGATTCTTATGTTGCGCAGGCTGCCACGGGATGCCTTGAAAGCGGATCTTTGTACGGTTACGCAGGGTGACAACGTTCTAAATGCAATAAATGTTGCAATGTGATGTGCCGGCGGCCGTCCCGTGCTGCCACGAACCACCAATTGCCGCCCGTTCGCACCCCGCCGGCATCGCGGTTAAATAATACAGAGGACCGCTCGACATACTTATTCACAGTTTTATCTGTTAGGTACATTCACGTGGCCCCATGCAGCCGGGGTGCACAACCAGCTGCGCATGCTGCCGCCCCTGTGGCAGCAACCACAATCTGGTCTCTCGGTAGCCGGGCCGCATGCTGAAAGCACTGGTAACTCAGGAAATTTGCAGGATTATGACATGTCTCTCAATTGAAGGCATGCAGGAGGGAGGCAAAGGCAGCGCAGGGCATGGGACAGCACGCGATATTGTGCCATCATGCGCACACATGGGCCCCTCAGAGCACACGTGCGGTCCCGCACGGCCTGGCTTCACATGAATGTCGTGCCCCGCGCCGCCGGGAAGTAGATGGCCTGGTGGCGCGGCTGCTGCCAGTGCGACTGGCAGAACTTGGTGCACCTGTGACGCGCGAAAAAGGTGCTGATGCCGTCGAGACTGAGGTCTGTCGCGCCATACGCACGGGTGCCGCTGCGCGACAGGATGACCGGGTCGGTCAGCGTCATGCCCTCGTCCGTCATGCCGCCCTGCAGGTCGCAGAGCACGTAGCTGCCGCCGCTGGCGTGGTAGGAGTAGTGGCTCTGCGAACAGCATGCGCAGCCAGGGGGCGGTCGTCGTGGTGATTAGAGGCAGGCATACGCGCACTTGTGGCGCACAAGTGTGCCTCATAAGCAAGTGGGGCGAGAAATATTGGGGTTGTAGGTTGAGGTCAAGTGCTGCATAATGCTGGCGTCATGCAACAAGGGGGCCTGTGCGCATGTAACACGAAGCACTAATCCAACGAACAGGCACATGTGTGAGTGCCCTTGCTGGCCACGAACTTCAGCACCACTCACCAGGGCCTGCATGGCTTGTGACCAGGCATCATGCTGATCAAACACAACACCAGTGTTGGAGTTGAACTTGCAAAAATCCTCAATGTAGGGCTCCACCAGGTGTTTCTGCCCCGCCCGCTCGCTGCTCTCGACGAACGTCCACACCTGCACCGTGCAGGTAGAGGAGGCGACTGCTCTTCAACAGCAGAGCAGGGAGCATTGCTGTTGTCTTCAGCCGCACGCCATGCAATCAACCAGCAGCAGGATTCTTGCCCACCTCGGGCTCATTCAGCAAGATGTACTGATCGATTATATCTTCGTTGTTGAAGGCATTGATTATATCCTGTGTGGGCACGGATTCAAAATTTACTTGAAAGCTTGGTTTAGTCAGCTTGCAAGTGCTGCTGACGCTTCCAAGCTTTCCACGAGGCACCTGGCCTGACCGTGGCGCAGTCACCTGTGCCTTGTCCACGGCTCTGATGTCCTCAGAGTAAAATCGACTCTCAAAGACAACGCCTGTCTTGAACCATCTGCAAATAAGTAGGTTCGTAACGGATAAGAGCGATGCGCAGGCCAGTGCTTCACATCGCGGTGCCGCTACAGTAGGCTCTACGGTACTTGCCCAAAAACTCCGGATGCTTGCCACGCACGCTCTCACTTTGCAACGAGTGGCTGACCCTCGCGCTCTCCCTTTGTGTAATGGCCCTTGTACACAACCCGGAAGGCGCCCTCGCCGATGGGCCGTGATGTGTCGATAGTGCCGCGTGTGGCGTTGTTGCGCCTCAGCGAGGCCATGCTGCATCCAACGTTGTGTTTGCCTCAACGAATCCTGGTTGATTCCGCACGTTTGCTTCGCTCCCCTTTATATTCGCGCTGCTAGTGTTACGTGATAATAGCCGTGCTGACCACGGCGATCTCCGAGATCAGATGGAATGCAAATTACGAAACAGGACTTCCAAGAAGGTGGTCAACCTCAATTACTGCCGCAGCAAGTGTTACTAGTTCCTAGGCAACATCTCAAGCTCGTGCAGATACTTGTACTCTCACCGCCTGCTGGGCCTCTGTGTAACGTGACGGACGTTACACCGGCTTCTGTAACTCAGTCGTGAAGTCTATAACCGGGCCCTTCAAGGACATTTAAGGGCACGACCCCATGCTCTCCCCGGTCCCCGTGCCCACCTGCCTTCCGCAGGCTGCCCACGTCTCTAGCCGTGACACTCCTCCCCCCTTAGCTTCAGCGTCCTCGCTGACAGACTAGTCGTGGGGCGGCAAGGCAGTGTCACGGTATATAGGGTCGTAGAGCCCTTCCCGAGCACGCTAGCGACACCTATTGGTCTGTCACGTTACATTTGGTGCTCCAGCCGGTCCTGGCCAGTCCTCTCAGCGGAGGACGCAGGTTCGAACCCGGGTGCGTGCAGATCGTGTTTCGCCCCGAAGTCACAGGGTGACAGCCAGACAGGCTCGAGGACGAGCCTGTGCTAGGTGGGGGTGAGTGTCACGGTATATAGGGTCGTAGAGCCCTTCCCGACTGCACTGTCTTGCACGTTTGCACTGTCTTGCATATTCGGAAGGTGCCTCAATCCTGGCAGTGATGCTGAGAAAAGAGTGCCGCAGGTGCCCGAGCCTTCCCTTCCTGTCATGCACGCAATTCTTAGTACTCTGCAGAAACTCACGCTGTCGGGACCGAGCACCTCCGCCAGTGCAGTCTCCCCAAAAAGCACCTCAACACAGCCACCACCGTCCGGCACATTTGTGCATTGCGTTGGAAGCGATATACCATAGTGCAATCGAATGGGCTTTTGTCCGCGACGTCAACAGGTATTGATGAGGGGGATTTACAAAATCAACTGAGCACCCGTGTCGCACATGTTTGGGGGTTGCAGGGCGCCGTCCCACACCAGCATGCAGACGCTGTAAACATGAGTCTTCGTGTCTCCGCCCAATTGACCAGGGCTCGGCTGGGCGACAGGACTCTGGGCCCGTGGCCAGCTGCTGGACTGGTGTTTGTTTGGTCATGAGTGTGCGGGTCAAATATGTGCTTGACATGTTTTTGTATTGTGTGCAATAACATGCTAAAAAAAACTAAACCAGAATTATCCATCTTGTCCAGAATAAGGGGCCTCAGATGAAGGCATGCGGTGCGGCTCGGGTCAATATCGGCGCAGCGTGGGGGTGTGGCTGGGGGTCGGCGCGAGGGGCAGCAGCTGCTGTGCGCCCGCACCGGGGCGGCCATGACTCGACATTGGTGTCCTCAATGACGAATCAAGCGCACACAATCCAGCAAGCCACCAAGCTGAAGTAGCCGCTGCAGAGATCGCTGGACACCCGCGACACAGGGAGCACAACAGGAGCAACGAACGCCCCAGGCAATGGCAGCTATGGCTCAGCTTAAGTCTGGTGCTGCCACTGCACCGGCTCAGCGCCCGGTGCGTGGAGCTGGAGAACCTCTGGCGAGGGGCCCCGCACCTGGCAGGGGCGATCCCAGTGAATCTCGACATCTCACACCCCCATTGGCACCGCAGGCTCAGAAGCCGTTCACCAGCTTCCGTATCAGCCGCAGCACGGTCCGGGTGAATGCCACGGCGGAGCGCAGCGGTGAGCGACGCACTAACATGCGCTGTTGGCCACAGCCCACTCCCCCCCTGACGATCCAGCGGCAACGGTATCGCTCTCCAATGCCTGGCGCTGCCCCACAGGCTCAGACACCAGCAGGCGGCAGGTGCTGCAGCTGGCGGCGATCCCGGCGCTGGGCAGCGTGCTGCCCTCTGCAGCGTTCGCGGCCGGCAGCGGCAAGCGTGAGTTGCGACCCCCCCCTTGCACGGGCGGGCTGCCAGCCTGCGTCGCTGGCCCTGCCAGTCCTGCTGTAACTGGAGACCCGCGTACGGCACCCGCACCAAGCAGGTCTCCTGACTGTTTGCTCGTGGCTGGCCGTCCGCCGTCGTGGCTCCCGGCAGCTGTCGCCACCTGCTCACGCCGCCGTCGCCCTGCAC